TCTTTGTTTCCCTCTTTCCCCCACACTCCCCAACGATTTAAAAGGTTTTTTGAAGAAAAAAAAAAAAGGAAGGAAGAAAGAAAGAAAGAAAGGAAGAAAGAAATAAATAATGTAAAAGAAAAAAAAAAAAGACATAAAGAAAGAAAAGAAGGATGAAAGAAAGAAAGAATGAGGGAAGGAAGGAAAGAAAGAAAGAATGAGGGAAGAAAGGAAAGAAAGAGAGAAATAAAGATAGGGAGAGAAGGAAGGAGGGTGCGTGTTTGTATTTTTTTTTTTTTTTCCCTTTGCAGCGTTGTCGTTTCTTTTGTTTTTTTTTCTAGCAATGAGATAGATAGATAGATAGATAGATAGATAGATAGATAGATAGAGAGAGAGAGAGAGAGAGGTTGACTACTGCGGGCCATCGGCACACGCATCGATGTGCATATGTTTATTTCTGGCCCGCAGTAGCCAACTTCGGTCAACATCAGAATGGGTGACCGTGCGTGAGTTTCTTTGTTCGTGGYTTCCGGGTYTATCTCTGCGTCCRGAATAGGGYTGTYTCTCTGTGTCCCTGTCGCGTCCGATTTATATGTGTTTACTTGCATGCGTTCTGGCGTTGATGTCTTGCTTAATTCCTGGTTCTGACGCTTGCGTTTCGAAAAAAAGGTCCGCCATGTTGAGTTGTACGTACTACTGTTGGCGCCATTGTACGGAAAAATCATTCAGCCTCAAATCGCCCTTCGCGTCCAGAACACTCCATAGTTTCAACACATGCCGTGATTTCTCATCAGGGGTCGCCGCATCGTTCAACCTCAGCACTCTGTCGAAGATGATTGACAGAGTCACGCACCTCCACGACGCCTCTGTGGGGGCGGGATATGGAACCCATTCCCCATTCACTTTGAACGCAAAGCACGGCGTTCCTCCAACGGTACCCGGTTGAAGATGACCAGGCACCCAATTGACGTCAAACGGGAAGTGTCCTCCTGCTCTCGTCCTCTCAACATTCTCGTACGGAACAAGACACTCTGCACCATCATCGCTCGTGTCGCCATCCGTGCTCAAGTCTGCAGCCTGCGCACAAATTCCCGCAAGGGCCACTGCACAGTCCGTGCTGTTTGCTCCGGCCGATATCCCTTCGTTGCTGACACCTGCAATACCCTTCACCATGTCCTGAGTCTCCATCGCGCATGTCTCCACGCCGTTGACATTCGATTGAATGGCAGGCCCCATCTATTGCATGACACATCACAAACATTTATGAGAAGCCTTGGCAGCGACGTGACCCCCTCACCAGAGAGAGAGAGAGAGAGAGAGAGGGAGAGAGAGAGAGGTTGACTACTGCGGGCCAGAACGAGAACAACCAGCGGCGGTGTGCACTTACATGGCACGCAGTAGTCAACCTCTCTCTCTCTCAGGCAGACATACACTGCGTAAAAGGGTGGTTGGCTACTGCGGGCCGTTGGGACAACAAGCAGCATCGGTACACATTGACATGGCACGCAACAGTCAACCTCACCCAGCTGGAAAAAAAAAAAAAAAAATTGTGGCACCAGCGCGAGGTTGGCTACTACGGGCCAGAACGAGTACAACCAGCAGCGGTGTACACGTACATGGCCCGCAGTAGTCAACCTCGCTCATTCAGGCAAACATACACTGCGTTAGAGCGCTATTAGCAATTGCGGGCCATTGACACAACAAGCAGCTTCGGTACACACTGACATGGCACGCAGTAGCCAACCTCACCCACCTGGAAAATCAGAAAACAATGTGGCACCAGCACGAGGTTGGCTACTGCGGGCCAGATCGACAACAACCAGCAGCGGTGTACACTTACATGGCCTGCAGTAGTCAACCTCGCCCATACAGGTAGACATGCACTGCGTTAGAGGGCGGTTGGCTACTGCGGGCCATTGACACAACAAGCAGTTTCGCTACACACTAACATGGCACGCAGTAGCCAACCTCACCCACCTGGGAAATCATAAGAAAATGTGGCACCAGCGCGAGGTTGGTTACTGCGGGCCAGATCGACAACAACCAGCAGCGGTGTACACTTACATGGCCCGCAGTAGATAACCTTGCCCGTACAGGCAGACATACACTGCGTTAGAGGGCGGTTGGCTACTGCGGGCCATTGACACAACAACCAGCTTCGGTATAGACTGACATGGCACCCAGTACCCAACCTCACCCACCTGGCCACTCATAAAAAAATGTGGCACCAGCGCGAGGTTGGCTACTGCGGGCCAGATCGACAACCACCAGCAGCGGTGTACACTTACATGGCCTGCAGTAGTCAACCTCGCCCATACAGGCAGACATACGGGGCCTTAGAAGGCGGTTGGCTACTGCAGGCCATTGACACAACAAGCAGCTTCGGTACACACTGACATGGCACGCAGTAGTCAACCTCACCCACCTGAGAAATCATGAAAAAATGTGGCACCAGTGCGAGGTTGGCTACTGCGGGCCAGATCGACAACAACCAGCAGCGGTGTACACTTACATGGCCCGGCGTAGTCAACCTCGCCCATACAGGCTAAACTACAGT